TTTAAGATTGTTAAGGGAATTGATAGTGTTGATGCATCATCGTTTTTCATACTTAATGATGAGAATAGTAGGACTACGGGATGCAAATATAAATGGGCAAAGTAGGAGTCATCTTCAGTTAAAACAGTTTTATTTTTGACCTTTGGAATGGTTCGCCTTCAGATGGAGGTAGTAAATTTAAGTGAGTTTAAAAGAAAGCTTGATAACTATATGAATAATAAGGGCTGGCTTTAAGGGTCTTTTTTAATATTTATTTAACAGTTTTAGTTTAGTTTAGAGGATGGGACAGCATAGATGGACTAGTATGTTCCTTGTTGTCCCTAAACACCATGTTATATGTTATTTTACAAGTGATTTTTCATATTTTCAAAAACCCTACATTAGTCGTTTATTAACAATGTTATATTCTACTAAACAGTAATAATACTTGCAGCATAATTAATCTGCTGGTATCAGAAAGCTATAAAAAATTCTAACGTACATCTTTTTTTTTTTCATGAACACTGTCCTTATTTTTAATAACTTCAGAAATAAACAATTTTATCATTAACTTTCAGTCCACTTTCTATGAACTAAATACCCCCAATATTGTTTTTACACAATTTCTATAAAGTATCTAAGCATTTTCCTAATCTTCATTCAACCAACTCTAATATGAATTACATTTAAATACGAAAATTACAATCAAAGCTTAGATTCTGGAAAGTTACTAACAAGACTTAATGGGATAAAAAGCAACTTGGGTTATTTTTCACCTTTATACTCAGTAAAACTATGAAGAGACTGATCAAAATCCTTTTCTTCCATAACAACATTAAGGCTATTCACATCCAAATTATACTTAAATTTTACATGATGATAACCAACATGCAATACTTTGCAATTACTGTAATTACAAGCCATATGCAATTTAATTGTCCAACTCACCAAATAATCTAAATCCTTTGGTAAAGCAGTAACATTCATATCACAATCGGCAATATCCAAGAACTTAATATCATTAGAAAACTTAACCAATTTATTGACCATTCTTTCATCTATGTCATGGGTGTAAATAAAAAAAGAACAAAGGTCCCTACACTGATTCCTGAGGTATCCCACTTGTTACATTAATCCAGTTTAACTCTCTTTATAACAACCCTCTGCCTTTTTCCATCCAATCTAATAACTCAATTTATCCCCCACACCCATAAAGATAAGCTTATTTAACAAGTCTTTTCCATGACTTCTTGTCAAATGCTTTCTGACAATTCAGGTATACCAAATTCATGACTCTTCCTTGATAAATATACACATAAGTAGTAACCTCTTCAAAAGATTGTCAAAAAGATTAATAAGCAAGATTTTCCCCCTAGTGAAACCATGTTGACTATCCAACAACATTTTAAACTTTGTTAAATAATTTTGCAGAATATAATTTATTATATGTTAAAAACTTTTCTCACCACTGATATAATATTAACATATTTATAATTACTTGGACAATTTTACCACCTCCTCAAAAACATCAGCCAATGTCTAATTTTTTAGTTCTGTCCAATAATCAAGGATTTGCACAAAATAGTAGCAAGTAATTTACATATCCAATCTAAAAATTTTCCATTTTTTACTTCAAAAGTTCACAATTAACATGATCATCTTGTTCAATTGTTTTCATCTAGTAACTGTTCAGGATGAGCAATATTGCTTAAATTTTTATTAGTAAAACAAAGAATGGTAGTAATTAGTAGCCCAGCCATCTCAACCATCAGAAATGAGCATTCCTCATAGGTCATACTCCCATCTTAACATTTTGCTTACCCTTAATATATTCAAAGAAATCCTTACCTTTAATTTATACATTTTAGCAAACCTTTTCAACTGCCTAATGTCCAGTTTGAACAAATCCCTTGATCTTATATAATCCTTTAAGTCTCTAGTTATAGCATTCAATTTATTAGCACTTTTCTTTAATTGTATTCTTTATACTCTTCGAGTCAACTTCGTATTTCATTAGTAGCTACTCTTTTCTCTATCTTAAATATTTCAAATTGTTTTCCACATTTGATCAGTATCTCTAACTAATTCAGTTCTCCCAATTCTTATCACAACCCTTCATAATTTGTATTTTTTGAAACTTGAAGCAAAAGGTCATTATTTCTGAACTACATATACAGTAAAACAAACCTAGTTAGGTAATGACCAGTTACACCCAGGTGTTCCCCAATCTCTACCACCTCATCATTTTCTAAATGGAAGTTAACAATAAATCTAAAATATCACTGGACATTCCCTGAACAATTGGTGAAAAAAACAAAAAAAACATCCTTAATGGTTTCTAAAACCTATCTCCCAGATGGTTTGATTCTAACCTTTCCCAATTATTATGACTGAAATTAAAATCCCCATAACTATAACATCATTAATTTCATCTGGCAGTCTATAACAAATTCCAAATAAATGCCTTCTCTATGTCCACTAATAGGAACCCAAATAGATTCAACCTTCATGTTTTTATCTTTGATGTCCCTAACTTCAACAGAATGTAACATATTTTACATACAAACCCATTCCTTCCCTTCTTTTTAGCAATTACAACTCAAAACCCTGTATTTCAGACATTTCTGCTTCCAAAATTGTCTGCATTTAACCAAGTTTCAGTTACTTCAAAAATATCAAAATCTTCCAACTAATGGTCTAAAGTCATCAGTTTTATTTCATATACTTCTCTCTCAATAGTAACAATTTAGTTTACCATTAAAACTATTTCTGTACTTTATTCCTACAAAAGTTGGATGTTTAAGAACCTGTGCTTTTAAAATTGGTCACAAACTTAAGTCTAGAATTAACATAACAAAACTAAATAAATCTGAGAACTGTAAAATCAAATTTTCTTGCACTACTACAAGATAAACATTTAAACATGTATGATTTAAATCTGTAAATAATCCTCAATTAGTAAATACTCATTCCTAATGATAGAACTGGGAGTAAGATTATAAACATTATTTATGGAAGTTCTTTCAATTTATTGTAGTTTTATCATCAATACAGTGGCAACACAGCTGCCAAGAAATTGTCAGTATGTGGATCTTCTCTGAAAGACTTATTCATTACTAATAACAATACTATTTTGCTTTTAATACTTTACCTAATACTTATAAACCAAACAAACTTTTGTTTTCTTTTCTGTAATGACTTGTTTAACAACATCAAGTAATAATATTTGAACTTTTAAAAGTAAAGCTTTCTCTATCAACCTACATTCTAATATAAGATCATCAGTAATATGTAATGTTCAGATTATGTCTAATCCCACTAAGCAAAAAAAGTTAATGCTCTTCTCCAAATTTCCAGAAGTGCTCAAAATAAACCATGAAACAGTTAAAAACCCAATAGTAGTAGTACTAATTATACTCTATAGTCACACCATGAATCAAGAGTCTGTTACTAGTGTGACACTCTTAATCTCTATCAGTCTATGTCTAAACATTGCTGTAAAAAGTGTAAATTATATAACAATGACAATGTTTTGGTAAAGTCTGATGAGTAATGATATTACTAATAGTACTAGTATAGCAAGTAACAGGATTACTCAACTGCCAGTTTTAAGAAAATAGTGATAAATAATACTAATAGCACTAATGGCATGGTACTACTCAGTAGTACTAGTACTAACAAAGTAACAATAGTAAAATTTAGTAATCAACAGTAATACTTAATATTTTACTATTAAGACTCATACATTATATTAATAAATTCAATACGTATATCAATTCAATATTAATACCGTAAGTTGTAACTTGTAGTTGTAGGTATAACAGTGAGTGTGCATCAACCACAGTTTGTAGCACTAAAGGTTTCTTCCTATCTTCGCATTTTGGGATTTTAAAAATAAAACTGGTCATCACCTTCGCCACATTTCTTTCTTTTAAGCAAAAGATGGGGCTATTAATATCAGTTATGCCTAACCTAAGTTAGAAACAACAAAACTTACTTCTCTTTAGTTTAGGCCTAAATTGTCCCTCCTTTTTCTCTGCGTGGTACTAGAGTTACAAAGCATGAACCTCAATCGCTATACACACCAGACAGTACATGACTTGTAGCATTCGGCACACTCGTGTTTTGATACACGCTTCTGACAGGTCTCGACTATTAGATTTAACACAGGGGTGGAGTTGTAATGTAAAATTCTAGATACGATTTAAACTTGAATATGATGCTAAACATGTGTACTAAAGATACAAACTCACTAAAAGTACTTTCCTGGGTACTATATTATACGAAAAATGTATAAACAACCATTCTCCAGATATTAAGAAACTTTAATTTTTATCGGAAACAATCGTGGATAACGAACTAATTCTTAAACTCACTATAACTTATTAAGTTATACTCAGTATAACTATAAGAAGTGCGTGGGGAACCTAATATTCATATATATATATATATATATGGCGCGATTGTTTGGGCATTATAAAGTTTATAATATTTGTACTTTCTCCGTGTTTTCATCTGTACGTGCATTTTACGAGTCAATTAAAAACTTATAAAATTGCCATTATATGTATGTATATACATATATATATATATATATAACGGCTAACTGTTTCTTGTGCTCTCTAAGTATTAACATGTTAGTCACATCAATATATTGTTAAGCCTCCAGTCGTTACTTAATTTTCCGTAAATTCGTTCCGACGAAACTTTAGCGCCACAAGTCCTTTCTTAAATAAAACTGGTTTATTCTTTCCGAATACAACTTTACCGATGCACTTAATTTCAACAGTCGCTCTATAACAAACGCTAGAACGTCTCACGTGCTCGTGCTCGACAATACTCAATTACACACGCTCTGACTGCAGTTCAATT